AGGAATGCCCTGGGAGGTGCCTGGCAAAGATGCCTGTTCCTTTGGGGTCCACACTGCACCCTGTGCTCTCCTAGGCTGGAGAAGTGCTTTTGATGGGCTGATGGTTCCTATGACAGGCCTGGAGTAGCTGGGTATGATGCTATTTGGGCTCTCCTCCCTGCTATTGTCACTGTGCTGCTTTGTGGGTATGAAGACCATTTTTTAAAAATCACATGGCCAAACACAGGCCACTCAGATGTTGCCTGCACAATAGCTGGGCCTCTTCTGTGGAAATAATGTGGTATCTACAACAGGAGGTGGAAGAGACACCTTAAGAGGCACACAGATCTTTAATGATATTTTGCAATTAATTTCTGTGACCTTGCTGCTCCAGGTGGTGGCTGGTGTCAGCTATTCCAGCTGTGGCTTCAACTCCTCAGTCAATCCCAGTCTCTGCAGCCTACCATACCAGCAGGGAAGAACACTGGCCAGACAGAGACAATGTCATTGCTGAACCAGACTGAAGCCTTATTTTTGTCTTTCACTAAAAGCATGCAAAAGGATTGAGCCTTTCCTACTTGCTGCTTTTGCCTTCCTTCATGCTTTGTTGAGGCATGATAGTTGGGCATTAAAGGTTTTAGCTATTTGATGTTGTTGGAAATGTTTGCCTAGACCAGAGATGTTTTTCCTTATTGCTGTTTTTTAAAGACTTAACTGCAGCAAGGCACTGCTTTGTAATGGGCACAGGAGGATATTGCCATCGTTTTTTCCGGGAATATTGGATGATACTTCCCTGTCAACCCTACCTTTGATGCAGAATCAGGCTGATAGGGGAGTAGAGGCTTGATAGCACTGCTGTGTGAACACAGTGTCAGCAAGCGTGGAAAAAGAGCTGATAACACAGCTATGGTGTGATTACAAGGTTTTGGGGCAGACAAGGATGGAGTAAGTTAGAGATGCATTCGGAAGGGAAGAATAAAGAGTCAAACTTGGCATTGATACTTGTGTTAGCATCATGTCTGATGCCTGATCACCATGTTGTTGTGCCATTTGTGAACATTGTGGTGCCAGATAGGCTAGATAACAGCTTACACATTTTTTCTGGTGCTAGTGGTGTCACCTGAATGGACTAGTACTGTACAGAACCTGAAGAGACTAAAGCTGTTACAGCCTTTGGTTGGCATAGCTCCCTGGTGCCTTTGTACAGTGTCTGCAAGGTGTGGCAGACTAAGCAAGAGAGGGAGAAGCTGTTGCACAGCCTCTTCTTCAGGGTTTGACTGCTCACAATCAATCTGTTAGACACAGCTGAAGTGTACATATGATCTGCAGCACTCCACACTCAGAGATTTGCTGTACTTGCCACAGCATTCCACAGCCCTGTGACCACACCAGCTGGTGTCCATGGGTGATGAGGTGTTGTCTGTCCCACAGCAATAATGTTATCTGCTACTGCCAGTGGCCTTGCAAACTCCCCCTCATAGCTGAGCTGCCCTGTTAGGTTGATAAAATGGACCTGTTAGCTTTGATTTCTGTAACAAACCTGTACGGATCCCACAGTCTGGAGGGCTTTGCAGCCCATGTTTTGTAATCCAGGGTTTCATCCTGTGCAAGCAAGGCTATTTTCAAAGGTAGTTACCATCTATAAAGTTCATATCTGTGGACAGTCATGGCTTGGACTGTAATCTAAGTAGAAGTCCACACAGTCCTTGAAAGATGAAGGTGATCTTCTTGACTCAGAGGCAGCAAAAAATCATCATGAAAAGTAGGAATTGGAGCCTCCCAAAGCCCAAAACACTTCTTTGGCAGGCAGGAGGGTTTCTGAGCAAGGAGACTTTCTACTTCTTTAATTTCTGTGGCATACATGTCAACAGGACTTTCCACAACAGTATAAAAGGCTGCATGCTGATTTGTCATCTTTTTTCTTCCCCTGAAAGAAACCTGGTAGCAATACCTTTCACAGGTTGCAATTGATCCCACAACCTTCATTTCTGAGGTGTCTGACATGTGACTCTGGGAACGGGTTTGGAGACATGGTGACACCCAACTGGGCCTGCAGTCACGGGAACCTGTCCTGTAAAGCTGTAAAATGCTTATCAAAGCCTTGAAATTGAACACTAAAAATAGTGACTGCTTTTGACCTTTATTACGTATCAGTGATAAAATTGACATATATCTTCATATCACTGTAGTGTTGCTGAAAAAATAGCTTTGGAAACCTTATATATGAGCATGTGTGTGTGTTTGTATAAATGACTAATGAAGTAGCTGCTTGTGCTGCCCTTGGATTGTTGGTTTGCACATCACTTTCATGAAGGAAAGTTAAAAGTAGATCTCATCTTAGGCTTAAATGTCCTCTAAGTTATGTTTCAAAGTGGCTTGAAGCACTGAAGATGTTTAACCTGAAAAAAAGATCTTACAAATAAGACACAATTTCTTAGAATAATCAATTATTAGACTGGATTACTGGAAGGTGCAATACAGTCTTATTCTTTGGACAGAACTTTTGAGTTAAATCTATTTTATTCCTAAAGCAGAAATTATAAGGATAATTATATTTTGTTGCTAAGAAATGACGATTTTTCTCCCTTAAGGAAGTCTCAGATAAAATTCCATTATCCCACTTCAACAAGTGGCTGAAACACTTTGAAAATATTTGGAGCAAGATTTTTTAATTGAATGAATTTAAATAAGTAAGGAAAAATATCAGCCTTATAAGAATTCAGGGTAATGTTAAAATACAACAGTGAACATCTCATTATTTCCATGGGAACATCTCTAAAGCTTTTTATTATCTAGGCATTCATTATCTAGAGATCGACGAAAGGACGAAGCAGCGATTAAGAAATCAACAAGTGACAGAATTTCACATTTTGTGCAATTCTCTTTCACTTGGCATCACTGGAGGCATCTACTCTTCACTTTCCACCTTCTTGCCGATTTCACGGCTCTTGGCCCGGAGCTTGTTGACCTGTGACTCTGCAATGTCAGCCCGCTCCTCGGCTTCCTCCAGCTCGTGCTGGATCTTGCGGAACTTGGAGAGGTTGACGTTGGACAGTTCCTCCTGGGGATGGGAAGAGAGATCAAGAAGTTTCAAAATGTATGATCATAGACATCGTGTGGTCTTTTGCCTTTATGTAATGAAAAAAAAAAAGAAAGACTGTGGAGGGAATCTGAAGAAATAGCTTAAATGCTAAATATTTAGATGGCTAATATGCTATGCCAGGAATCCCTTCTCTGCAAATCAAGTGCTAATGGACTTTTGAAATTTGTAAAAGTATATATACTTACAGTTCTTCCCATTAAATAATATTCCATTTATTTACTGCTGTAACATTATGAATTACAAATTTTGAAATTGTTTCTTTGCTTGTTTTGTTTTTTTTTTGCTGCAAGGCAGAGATATGAAGTAAAGAACATGAAAGGAAGCAGAGATCTACTCCTGCAATGTTGACCTGAGCAGTTGTTACTCTTCAGAGCATGTAGTAATGCTAACAGAAAATGTATTCTAGGCCCCTGAGATGTTCAGCCAGGGCAGCTGTTCAGATGTACATTCCTGAGTGCACAGCAGGAAAGCAACAAAAAAGTTAAGGGTTTGAATGGAGCTACACAGGGGAAAACACCAACACACAGAATTCCACCTCCACCTGGAAAGAGAATGACTGCGCACACAGTGGTACTTACAGCCTCCTCAGCTTGTCTCTTGTAGGATTTCACTTTCATTTGCAGCTTGTCCACCAGGTCCTGGAGCCTGAGAACATTCTTCCTGTCTTCCTCAGACTAAAGCGAAGGATGAGAAAGACAAACACCTTTTGGACCCCCCTCACTAAATGCCCTCTACATAAAATAGAAAGTGATATTCTTCCTAGACCATTACTGTCCAGTAAGACAGAAGTGATAAAATGAATCTTCCCAACATGATCAGAAAGAAAATTTGTTCTGATGTCCTCAGTCCTCTCCTTTTAACTGTGTGACTCAGGACAGCAAGAAAGCCCTGATTGCTACATTTTGGCTTCCTGCAAGAAGGGAGTGTGAGCCCAAGGAGGCCTCCTGCCTTACCTGGTAGGTCAGCTCCTTCACCCTCCTCTCGTACTTGCGCACACCCTTCACGGCTTCAGCGCTGCGCTTCTGCTCAGCATCAACCTCCCCTTCCAGCTCCCGCACCTGCAACGACAAGCCCAGCTTTGGAGCTTCCCTGCTGGCTGCTGACATCACATCCTCACTCACACACAAAGAAGAGCCCTACACACCCTGGCCTCCAGCTTCTGGATTTGCTTCTTGCCTCCCTTCAGGGCCAGCTGCTCAGCCTCATCCAGACGGTGCTGCAGGTCCTTCACTGTAACGTCCAGGTTCTTCTTCATCCTCTCCAGGTGGGCACTGGTGTCCTGCTCCTTCTTCAGCTCTTCTGCCATCATGGCTGCCTGGTGAGAAGAAACATTCAAAGCCATTTTGTGGCTGGAGATATTTTAGGGAAAAGGCACTCATGTTAAGCAGTGCAAAGAACCCCCAGCTCACATCAGTGATGGCCTTCTTGGCCTTCTCTTCAGCATTGCGGGCTTCCTGGATTGTATCCTCCATTTCACTCTGAATTTGGGAAATGTCTGTTTCCAGCTTCTTCTTGGTGTTGATCAAGCTGGTGTTCTGTTCAAGAACATGAACAACATAATTTTGTTTTTGTTAGCTTGCAATTTCAAATAGAGAACATCACAGGATTTTGAATAATATCAGAAATAATTTGTGTAAAAAAAACATAACACAAATTGTTTTTTTTCCCCCCTCCTATCATAGATTTTATTAATTTGAAAAAGAATACTTAGAATAATCACTGCCACGTTTCATCTGCCAAGACTGGCACAGGACAGTAATGAAAATGGAGTTTATACCTACTTTCTTGCTAGAGAGGAAATAGAAATTCCTGAAGGAATATGAGGATTCCCTAATGCTGCCTTTCAACCAAGAAAGGAATGAGTTTCCCACACTGTTCAGATGTCAGACCATTTGGAATGTGTGTCTGAAAAATCTGGTCCTTGTGGAGATTGTGTTTGGATGCAAAGGAAGGAGAAACAAGGGTTTCATGGAATGCAGCACAGGAACACAGTCACCTGACAAACTTTTTCAGTACCATGGCTTTAAGTACCATGATGATTAATTCAGAAAAGGTAACTCTTGTCTTAGAAAGTGAGCTTCCAACAGTGATGTGAATAGAGCATCCAAGTGTTGTCCTACTTACCAAGAGTGTTATTTCTTACCAAGTGACTCACCTGAGTATGGAGAAGCTGTACACGCTCACTTGCGTCCATGAGTTCCTGCTCAGCCATCTTTCTAGACCTCTCTGTTTGTTCTAGTGCTGAACGTAGCTCCTCAATTTCAGCCTGTGAGAGGTTTGCTCTACGCTCCACCATGGCCACCTGCTCCTTCAGGTCCTCCTGCGACCTGAGAGCATCATCCAAATGTATCTGGGTATCCTGTAAATCCATTGAGAGATATTATTTTTATTATTATTATTATTTGACAATGAAAATACCAGCTAAGATATTTCTGTGTAGGCAGCTTTTGTTCATCGGACCTTGAGCACTCCCTGTGTGTTCCTCAGGTTCTTTTGTGCCTCTGCAGCCACACGGTTGGCGTGGCTGAGCTGGATCTCCATTTCATTCAGGTCTCCCTCCATCTTCTTCTTCAGCCTCAGGGCTTCATTACTGCTCCTGATCTCAGCGTCCAGGGTGCTCTGCAAGGACTCCACAACTCGGAGGTGGTTTCTCTTCAGCTGGTCAATCTCCTCATCTTTCTCTGCCACCTTCCTGTCAATCTCCGACTTCACTTGGTTGAGCTCAAGCTGGAGGCGCAGGATCTTCCCCTCTTCATGTTCCAGGGAGGCCTGAACAGGTCATCAGGAAAACTGACTTAAGCTCTTGCTTCTTTTCTGAGTACTCTCTAACACAAGTACTTCATGAAATCTAGGCTTCCTTTCCTGCCATCTCTGCAGGTAACTCCTCCCATACTTTCAGTCTGGACACCATTTATGAGCACTGTGAGTACCTCAGCTTCCTCCAGGGAGGCCTGGAGTTCAGACTTCTCCTGCTCAATCTGCTTCTTGACTTTCTCCAGCTCATGAATCGCCTTTCCTCCCTCGGCAATCTGCTCCGTCAGGTCGGAAATCTCCTCTGTGGGAGCCAAGAGCAACGGCCTGGTCAGGCACAGAGCCAGGTGGGAAGGGCCCTGCCACACCAAGGGGACAGGCATCTCTGCAGAGCTGCAGGCACAGCCCCGTGTGCAGCAGCGGGGAGAGGTGGAGAGTCAGAAAGCCCTGCCAGCAGCAGAGGGCCAGGGACTTACGCTGCAGGTTCTTGTTCTCGCGCTTGAGCGTCTCCAGGTGGTCCAAGGACTCCTCATAGGCATTCTTCATCTTGAACAGCTCGGTGCTGAGAGAGCGAGACTCCTTCTGGGAGGCTTCCAGCTCAGCCTGCGTCTCCTCATACTTCTGCTTCCACTCGGCCAGGATCTGCAGAGAAATGGGGCCTGAGTGTGGATGTGGCAACCAGGAGGGGCTGCCCTGCTCCCGAGCCCCAGGCCTGCAGCCCAACACACCTTGTCAAAGTTCCTCTGCTTCTTATCCAGAGCTGCACAGGCAGCGTTTGAGCGCTCCACGTCAATCATCAAGTCCTCCACTTCATTCTGCAGCCTCTGCTTGGTCTTTTCCAGGGAAGCACATTTGGCATTGACGGCTTCAACGTGTTCCTCTGCATCCTGCAGCCGCTGTGCCAGCTTCTTCCTGGCAGGAAATAAGCACAGGTCAGTTAGCACAGAGAAACCAGTGTGTCCCCATTTACACAGAGTTGCAGGAACCCCCAAACCACTGCACTGCTATGGCTGAGTCCTGGGCTACAGCAATTCAGTCTCTGCTGGTCACTCTGCTGGTCACACTTGGCATCTCTCTTTGCTATTCTGCATGTGAAGAGCTTTGCTGATCCTGCCTTTCCCCAGAGCTTGGACTCTCTTCCTGGCTTCCAACCCGAACCAGAATATTGGCTGACAATATCAGAGTGCTCTCCTCAAATTCCTGTTCTTCCTCTCTGCCAGCCTTGCCCTCCTTCCCCACATACTTGGCCTCCTCCAGCTCCTCGGTGCGCTGAATCGCGTCCGTCTCGTATTTGGTTCTCCACTGGGCCACTTCGCTGTTGGCCTTGGACAGGGCACGCTGCAGCTCCCCCTTGGCTTCCTGCTCCTCCTCATACTGTTCCCGGAGCAAGTCACAGTCGTGGCGAGCAGACTGCAAGGCGTGGGCCAGGGCGTTCTTGGCCTGGGGGAAAAAAAAGTAGTGTGACAAGTGGAAATATCCTTGGGAATCTCGCCAGCTGTTGATGCACACTTGATTATTCCACTGTGAGTGTTGGTGAGCTACACAAGGAGAAAGGAATAGCTGGGAATCTGTTTTTTGTTCTCCCTCTCATATTGTTGATTCTGTAACTTCGTATGTATCTGAAGATCCTCCTAGACAGAAGGAATCCAATGAATAAGACAGAAGATGGAGAGCCTTCTCACCTTTATCTCTTCCTCCAGGTGCCTCTTGAGTTCCTCAATCTGCTGGGTGAAAGCCTGCTTGCCTCTTGACAGCTGAGAAATCAGTGCATCCTTCTCCTCCACCTGGCGTGAGTATTCACCTGGGAGAGTTACGATGAGTAAAATAACCTTATTATTACTTATTTAAGCTGTTAACATTGATGACTAAATGCACATTAAAACATTTTGAGTTAAACAACATTTTATTTCTTTAATGGTATCATCATCACTAATTCCTCTCCATATCTCTGAGTGTGCAAAATTATTTATCTTAGAGATAGTAAATGAGATATATTGTGCCACCTTCTCTGATATCTGACTAGTATGTCCCATGTATGACTATGTTTACACTAAGTCCAGTGCTTACTTCAAGCCTTGAGCTTACAGAATGAGAATATGTTCTCAGGAACATTACTGTCTTCTACTCAACACTTCCTGGGAAGACCAAGGCGAGAGTTTCGTTTATGAGATAGACAAATTCTTCTTTGAATCTCCAGTGATAGAATCCTAGAACAGTGCAGGTTGGAAGGGATTTTGAAAGGTCATCTGGTCCAACTTTTCTTGGGAAATGGAGCCCAGATGAGATTTTCTATTACCCTGTCCAGTCATGTCTTGAAAACCTGCACTGATGGTGACTCTTCTAGTCCCTTAAATATGTTATTAGTCCTACTTCAGGATGTCTGTATCTCTCTGGTACTGGGGAACCTAGCACTGGACACAGTACTGCAGGTGTGGCTTCAGTAGGGAAAAGGATCATCCTCTTGTGTTCTCTTAAATACCACAAATCTTACCAGATTCTGTTTGTAGACGAGCTCTCTGAGCACTAATGTCATTAATTGTGCGCTGTTGTTCCTCCTCCTTTGTCTTGATCTCACTGAGTTGATCTTCTAGGGAGCGACACATCTTCTCCAGATTTGCCTGTTTGGGTGGAGAACAGAATGAAAGATGATTCGTGGTTCAACACAACTGCTGAGAATTTGAAGCCTTATAAATGACAAAAATATAAGCCAAATTATGGTCCAAATGTCTCAGTTCACCAATATGTCTTACTGTGAAATTTGCATCCCTAGTTCAAACAATTGTGTAATTCATTAATATACATTCCCTATTTTATTTTCAATTAATTAAAAGGATGGAGGAATACTGTGACATGAGGAATTTTTTAAAATTTCTGTTTGGCTCTAAATGATGGTGTCATTGAAGTATTTAAGGCAGGAAAAGAAAAATAAGGAAAGGGTAAGATAGGAGTAATTTCTGTTTCAGAAAAAGTGAACAAACTGAGAAGGTCACCACTTTCATTTGACTATTGCAATATTTTGAACCAAGCAACGAAACCTGGTAGTTCCTCTGGTCAGGTGCTTCAGGTCAAATTTTTACCTCTCACCCAAAGGATACAATCTATTATGATGATATATATTGAAATATCTGAACTAAAATTCAAGTTGTAGAGTTCAACTATTTGTTTTAAAGTACGAGTAACAAGTTTCTATGTTAAAAGAGAAATATTGGAATCAGTTTGAATTACTACAAAGAAAAATTTCAGTACCTTGGCCTTGGAGACAGACTCCATGTTACTGGCCAGGTCGTCAATCTCCATCTTCAGCTCACTCTTCTCCTTCTCCAGCTTCTGCTTCACGCGTTGCAGGTTGTCGATCTGCTCCCCCAGCTCAGCTGTGCTGTCCGCGTGCTTCTTGCGCAGGGCGGCAGCCGTGGCTTCGTGCTGCAGCGTGGCCTCCTCCAGGTCACGGCGCATCTTCGGGACCTCTGCCTCCCGCTTCTTTTTCATATCAATCTGAGCTGCAGTAGCTCCTCCTGCTTCTTCCAGGCGCTCGCTGATCTCCTCCAGCTCCCTGGACAGGTCAACTCGCTGCTTCTCGGTCTTCGCCCGGATCGCGCGCTCGGCCTCAATTTCCTCCTCCAGTTCCTCAATTCGAGCCTGTGAAAGTTAATTGGTTAAATGAGGATTCTGAACTGACAGAGCTGAAACAGTCATTAAGAAATAAAGAGTAAACACTTGCATCCACTTACATCAGCACAAAGACTGAAAAAACTACTAGAAGTTTCATGTGAGTTGTGTCCTAGAACGTGCAAGATTTAGTTCTGGAACAATAGGAAAGGTAAAATCTAGTATTTCACTTTATGTTATAGCTTAGATTGGATTTATCAGTTTATGAAGATCTAGTATTGCACTTTTCAGAAGAAATAGAGGATGTGTCACTGGATAATGTAAAGGAATGTGATTTTCTTAGAAATTTCTAAAAGGCCAGGCAAAAAAAAAAAGCATCCTCTATCCATCAGTAAAACAAGATGGAAAGAACCTTGAGATGAGCAGCCATGAGAGAACAGCTGAACTGCCTTTCTGGAGTGTTGACTTTGTCCTCCTCTGCCTGCAGGTCATCCAGCGTCTGCTGATGGGCCTCTTGGAGGGCTTTCTTCTCTTTGGTCAGCTTGGCAATGGTCTCGTCCAGGGCTGCCATCTCCTCTGTGAGGTTTTTCACCTTTGAGAAGAAGGGAGCAAGTGCAGATGAAATATGTTGTTTAAAACGTTACACTGTACAACAAAAGACATGTCTTTTCTGGAGTGCGAGTGACATCTTCTGCCTCAGACCTTGTTTTCAGTGGCATGCTTTTCCTTCTCAACCTTGGCCAGTGTTAGCTCAAGGTCATCAATATCTTTCTTCAGCTCTGAACATTCATCCTCCAGTTTCCTCTTCTTGGCTGTCAGCTCAGCATTAATTTCTTCTTCATCTTCTGCTCTCTCTGTCAGCTCCTTAATTTTGGCTTCCAGCTGGATTTTGGTTTTGATGAGCTGGTCACACCTTTCCTCAGCATCAGCCAGACCATCAGCTTCCTACACGATTCATTAAAAAAAAAATAATTTTGTATAATTATTTTTTCTTACTGGTTATCAAACAAAGTCTTTTGTAATTAAAACTTCTTATTTCAAGTGTATCCCTTGCTTTGCGCTACCTCCAACGCAGGAAATAAAGAAATATTTTATTACACTACAAATACAAGCTCTGAGGATTTTTTTTAAAACTGCTTAACTGCTCCTGCAGGTTCTACATTAATTTGAGTGTAGACCCTGAAATTAGATATGTTCCTATCTCCTTTGTATCTTTTAATCACTTTACTTATGGTGCATTTGATTGGACTGGAAACTGGCGTAGAGTTCTAGGGAAGAAAACCATGCTGGCAGATTTTTTTATCATATAATGTTTAAAATCTGAATTCTAAAAACTCTAAGATTCAGCTGAGAAAATCTTAGAACTCTCTTGAAAAGATTTGCTGAGAATGAGTTAAATTTTTAGTTTTGGCACAGTTTCATGTTAGGATCACTGTTTCACAGGCAGTAGATTAGACATGTTTCTAGCACTTGTGGTCAAGAAGGACATTTTGAAAGGAAGACTGATGTTTACCAGAAATAAGTGTATGTTTTTAAAATACATACTGTTTTGGTATAACATGTCTGTTACTGAGGCAATTGGGACCATATTACAGAGGTGATTACAAGCCAAAACCATTAACAATACTCACAGCCTGCACTTGGAGCTGCAGGTCATTTTTCTCCTGCAGCAAAGAAACCATTTTCTCCTCCAGCTCTTTCCTCTTGGCCTCAGACTTTGCAAGCTCCTCCTTGGTTTTCTCAAACTCCTCCTTCATGTTGGCCATCTCCTTCTCAGACTCTGCACTCTTCAGCAAGGGCTTGATCTTGAAGAACAGCTTCATCCAGGGCCAGTGCTTCACATTCATGAAGGACCTAACATTGTACTGGATGCAGAAGATGGACTCTCTGAAATGTAGTTAGAATATATATCATAGCACATACTTTTGAATTTATGATACATATAACAGGAAGTTATACATATAATAATTTATATTATAGTTCTATATATCTATGTTTCTTATTAATGTTTCTTATATACTTGTGCTAGAAGTAGGTATTTTTCACCTTTGATTATAATGGTGACCTAGAATAATCAGGTTAGACTAGATATTTGATTTCTGGACATACATATAATGTAGCCATTTACTGAATTTAGCAAAATACTTGAACAAAGGGTGATATAAGTTAGATACAAGTGGGTTTCTTTCTTAAAATTGAGATCTTATACTGCTTCACCTGCTGCCAGGGAATACTCCCAAATACATCTGTATTGGTAAGCTGAAGTAATGAGAAACAGATTTGTTGACATGCATTTCAGTTTTGTTCATATCATCACTATCTGATGAGAACTGGCCCAGCAGGCCAAATAAACACAGGTACCTACCTCCTCTCCATCATTTTCTTGAACTCCACTCTCATCAGGTAACCCCTGCACATGGCCTGTGTGCGGGTGATGAGCTGTGCCAGCTTCTCATCCCTCATCTCCTCCAGGAGCCCCAGCAGCCCAGCTTTGAAGAACACCTGGAGAGGGAGTGTTGCAGCAGGTCACTGACAGGTAGAGCAAAGCACAGGCACAGGGTGAGTGAGTCAAGGAGGGTTTGTACCTTGGTGTGTCCAAATTTGTACTGGGTGTGATCCACATCAATTGACCCAAGAAGCTTCTCAGAAGCCTTCTTGCTATCAATGAACTGTCCCTCTGGGATGGCACTGGCATTAAGCACCTTGTACCTATGAGAGGAAGTAGAATCTGAAGAGGGTCAGATAGGAATCTGACTCAATCAAACTGGTAGTAACTGATGCCATTGTTATGCTTCTCTAAAGGGAGATCCAGAGTGGACAAAGGTGAATAAGACTGAATTCTGTTCCATTGTTTAGTAATTACATTTTCATGGGCAAATATTCTTTTAGGAAAAAAAATAAATTGCAGTTCCCTTAGTCCAGAAATTCTTGACACAGAATGGGATTTGTTTCCACGTGTCACTGCTGCCATCCTTCACATGCCCGATTGTCTGATGCTTTATCTCCAAATGTGAAGTTTATTTGCAAAAACAAAATATGTGGAGAGGAAAAACAATTTTTAATCCAAAGTAGTGGCACTACAAACTGAGTATTTTCCAGCTGATATACAGCAAGATGTAAGATTTTTTAATTTTTATTTGTTTTTCCAACAAGTTTGTCTAGAAAATCTTGTAGTGTCTTTAATCTCATCTCTATCTGATGGCTGCAAGTCACCTTACTTTGATATCCAGAAGTTAACTAAGTCTAAGCTAGTCAACTTTATTTCTAGATAGTTAATTAAATAATGATTTATCTCATACCAGAGTATAAAAAAAGGACAAGAATAAATAATTGCCATTTGAAAATTCTTGTTCTTCTAATTATCTACAGAAAGAAATCAGATTACTAACTTGGGCAATTAATTTTTTGCCTAACAGTAGGTGCAATGGACTCCTTCCATAACTCCCACAGTAGTTAAAATAAAGAGGAAATGTAAATTATTCAGCATTGGTGGATATCTTGGAGGGTGGATGACATGGAATCTGACCTCTGTTTAAAGTCTGCATAGAGGATTCTGCTGGGGAATCCTTTCCTGCAAATTCTGATCCCTTCCAGCACTCCGTTGCACCGCAGCTGATGCAGCACCAGCTCATGCTCCATGGCACCTAATAAATGACATCATGAATTGGTGCTTCATTGTACCACAGAGAGAAGAACAGATTTATCACATCTTTGAACATTAGCAACTTACCAGGTGTTTTTGTTTCATTAGGAATAAGGCATCTCACGAAATGGGGATGTGTGCTTCGCAGGTTGCTCATCAGCTTGTTTAAATTTTCCTTAAGAGCAAAAACTTATGTTTAAAAATGACACTTACAACCTCAGCATTGGGTGGATTGATCACACTACAGTAAAACCATGAACAATATTTTTCTTTAACAGAACTTTTGGGCAGTTTTCAAAGAATACTTCCAAGGATTCACTGAGAATCCTTCTTCATTAAGAAGCTTGTGCTTTTTCTTTTCTCAACATAAACATTTTGTATATTAGATCAATCTAAAGCTTTTCTGAAACGAATTCTCTATTTTTTTTTCACAATGCAGTAAAATTTCTAATGATAATTCTACAGTACCCGGAAAAGAGCTGAGACAGTCTGGAAGGAAGAACCCTTCTTCTTGGCACCCTTCTTGCCACCACCACCACTCTCTAAAGAAATTTTTGTCATAAAAGAAATGAAAAATAAAAGCACATTTAGAATCTGATTAACTTTGTGTGCTCATCTTGAGAAAAAACAGGCAATGTAATAAGATAACATTTTACATGTTTAAAGTTACAATGGGAGCCTTGATTTTTTCCAATGGTAGCAGAATGAAATCTAGTGACATCAACCTGAAGTTAAGAAAATACCAACAGAGATAGAATGTAATGTTTTGCATGGGAAGTTATTTAAGGAATTAAACGAAGCAGTAGTGAATACACCAGATAGACCTTTATATATAAAGGCTGCATAAAATCAGTACCATGTTGATACACATGTTAATGTCGTAGTACAGCAACTTGGTCTTAGAACCTACAGACCTTTTAAAGTCTGCGGGGAAATCTAATACCCTATATTAGTCTGAACAACTGAGATTAAAAAAGTAGACAAGGTTTCAGGTTCCAAATTTTTGAAATGTAAATAAACATTATTGCAAAATAATGCAAGTTTGCTGTGTTTTTGTTTGGTTGGTTGGTTTTTTGCTTGTTTTGATTTTTTTTAAGTTTTGCTTTTTTATTTTTTATTTTTTTTTACTGGTAAATTATACTAGAACTGATTTAAAATAAATCACCTGCTTCTGCTCCACCGGCAGAGGCAAAGAGTAAGGCCAATGTCTTCAGGGATGATTTCTGGTACAGCCCCACAACAGTTTCATTCAAGGGATCCTTGTTCTTCTCCAGCCAGCCAGCGATGTTGTAGTCCACTGTGCCAGCATAGTGCACCAGGGAGAAGTGGGCCTCAGCTTTGCCTTTTCCAGGTTTGGGCTTCTGGAAGTTGTTGGACTTGCCCAGATGTTGGTCATAGAGCTTGTTCTTGAAAGAGGTGTCAGTTGCCTTGGGGAACATGCACTCCTCTTCCAGGATGGAGAAGATGCCCATGGGCTGGGGGAGAGAGCATCATGTGAAGGAAGAAAGATCATGGAAGCAAAAAACAGAGAGAATGTATATAAGGGTGAGGAACAGAAGAGAAAAACACATATTAAAATAGATGTTGCTCAATATATTTACTCACTCAACATGCATTAAAAATATACACAAATTTGAGTATCAAATCCAGTAGAGTGACTAAGATGGAAATTTTTACCCCAGGTAAATCATATGTACTACACCACAGAATCCCACAGACAGTGAAGTAAGAGACAAATGAAAATGTGTATTAAATTCTTGGGGCCCAGAAAAAGTTATGTTACGTGTTGCATTACGTGTAAGTGCCACACATTGAGAGTGGTCTAATTTGAACATAGAAGATTCTTTTTATGTTTTAAATCTGGAAAACTATGAAGTGAATAGGGCAAAGAACCTTCTCAATGAGCTCAATGCAGGCAGCCAGGTCCATCCCAAAGTCAATGAATTCCCATTCAATTCCCTCCTTCTTGTACTCCTCCTGCTCCAGCACGAACATGTGGTGGTTGAAGAACTGTTGCAGTTTCTCGTTGGTGAAGTTGATGCACAGCTGCTCCAGGCTGTTGAACTGCAGAATGCAAAGATATTTACTTACATGAGAAGTTCAGTTCCAGGACCACTTTCCATCTTTCAACAGGTTTTATTTTCAACCAATACAACATCTCCATGATTTGGGTCCTGAATTTCTAGTCATGGGACTGGACAGGTGACTGGCATATTCCATCCTCTAATATCTACCCTTTCAGGCCCATGCACTGTCTCAACATATTTCTGAGCTCTGAAAAGAGTTGCAGAGTTAGTCCAAGTGCAGCTTTACATCTGCTTGAATTTGTCTACACTGCCAGTCTGTTTCCAAGCATTCAGTGGGAAACTGGATTCAACATTAGCAAAATCTTCCTTCAACCTGTCATAATTTGCCCCAAATGTCATAACTTGCCCCAAATCTACCTCTGCTGTTACCTATCAGTTGTTCAACATGTTTGTATTAGTTTTCTACAATTTTCACTTCTACATGCAACAATAGACATCCGTAAAAACCTGCAACCCTTGTGGGATAATAGGAGCACCAGAAAGTCAGAATTACCCAATAAATACAAGCAATCCGTAATTTAAAAAAAAAAAAAAAAAGAGCAAAAAAAAAGCAGACCCCAAACTATTCCAGTTTGTTAATGCCCCTTCCAGGAAATCTATATGATGATCCTTCTCTTACATCAAAGATCTCAAAGCCAGCAATGTCCAGGACACCAATGAAGTACTGTCTGGGCTGCTTGGTATCCAGCTGTTGGTTGATACGAACAACCATCCACAGGAACATCTTCTCAAAGACAGATTTTGCCAGAGCACCCACTGAATTGTATACCTAAAGAAAAGTAAAATAAAAGTTACCATCCAGGGCAAAAGGGGAAGTTCAAAGGTTTTAATTAATGTAAGTTGTTTTCTATCATCACTTATTTCTTACCTGCTGCACAGTTTGGCCTTTGGTCACATATTCATTCCCCACCTTGACTCGGGGGTAGCAGAGAGCCTTGAGCAGGTCTGCTGAGTTCAGACCCATCAGGTAGGCAGCCTTGTCAGCCACTGAAACCCAAAAAAATCAGTTGTTAGGGTACCAGCAGACATTATTGTCACTGTACTGAGAAGTGCAGCCAGTGAAACTCTACTGTCATTAGAGAGAGAGACAGATTATGCCAAAAGTACTGGTACTGGTTACCTGGTACAACTTTGATAGTGAAAACTTGGAACTTATATTTAATTTCACTTTTGTGGACTTACTTTTCAAATAGTAATCTTGTTCTATTATCATCTTCTGTAATTCTTTCAGTTGTTTAGATTCATGCAATAATTACAGTTATTCTTTGTAGCCCTTTCTACTTTCACTGTTCACCACTATCAGATTCATTCCTATCATATTCCCTGCAGTCATTTTCACTTATGGCTCAGCTTTCCTAAATAACAACCCAAAACACACACTCAAGGAACAAACCCAACACCTTGATAGGAGTTGCACATAGCTTTATGATATGTGTAAATAACTCCAGTTTCATGGAAATACTTCCATGAACTTTTAAAGAAATGCACTTGTGAATGATTTTAGGAAAAGCCAAGGTGACAGGCACATCCTAGATGGTTTTTTTTCCATGCAAAAGTCCTCTCACCTGCACACAAAACCATTAGGAGGTGGCTACAGCTGATGGAAAATGATAGTAGCTGCCTGGGTAGACAAACTTCAGGCATTGAGCAGAGTGGCTCCCAGTTCTGTGCCAGGCCTGGGAAGCTGCCATTCAGCATGGCAGCAAAGCAACTCTTCTTCTGCCTGACTCCTACCGTGCCAGCCAGTGGGAGCAGGTTTAGGATTCACTGGGCCTTCTGCTTTGCTTAGCTTAAAATAACCTGCATCTTCCAATGAGCCTTGTTCTTGCAGCACAGTCCTCTGGTTAGGACATGCTTAAGTTCCACAGCACACCTGGGGAACTGGGTCAATGTCTGTGACCCCGAGTTGCTGCCTGTACCCTGAGTGCTCTGGTGCCTGCTGTGCTGCGGTGCTTATCGTGCCGGTACCTTCTGTGCCATCAGGCTCTGCCTGCTCCTCACGCTGCTTCTGCTTGAACTTCAGGTTGCCATAGTGCATGACAGCCCCTGTCAGCTTGTAGATGGCTGTTTTCTCATCAGCAGTGAAGCCCAGGATGTCAATGGCACTCTGAGAAAAGAATCATGAGAGGGAGGGCTGGGCCTGTGAAAGGTCAGAGCCACCTAAGAAAGCCCGTGTGCGTTACTTACATCTGTGGCCATCAGCTCCTCCTGGTCATTAATGCTGGGAACTGTGATCTCGCCTTGACTCACATAAAGATAGTCATATGGGTTGGTGGTGATCAGTAACATCTCTGAAAGGAAGGGCAAAACACATGCAGGTCAAATGCAATTGGCACCTACAGGAATGAGATGTAGTTCCGTGGCCTTTGTCTGCAGAGGTTTGTGGCGTTTCCTACCAATTAGCTCGGGCTTCTTGTTGGACATGATCTGGTAAAAGATGTGGTAGCTTCTTTCTGCCTTGAGCTGGAAAGTGACTCTGGACTTCTCCAGCAGATCTGGCAAGGAAGGTAGGACAGGGTTAGGACAAGAGCTGCAGAAGGCTGGAAGGACAGGGGTCAGGCCAGGAAGGTCACTTACAGGTTTCAATGTCAGCAGACGCCAGTTTCCCCGTGGCACCAAAATGGATTCTGATGAATTTGCCCTGAAAGAAGAAGAAGAAGAAGAAGAAGATTTGATTGAGATGTATTTTGCCAATCGTGACTGCAAGAATATCTGAGTCAGTGTGCTGAGAAGAAAAGAGCAGCTTTGTCCCAGGCAGCTACTTACAAAGCGTGAGGAGTTGTCGTTCCTCACGGTCTTGGCGTTCCCAAAGGCCTCCAGCAGCGGGTTGGCGCTGATGATTTGATCCTCAAGCGTCCCCTAAACCAGAAACCTTCTTGTGATGATACAGCTCCTCACTAACTTTGGTAGTTGCAGGCTCCTACCCCAGGACCTCACCTGCATTTTGCCCGTTGGCTGCTGCTCCTCCTTCTTCTTGTCCCCACTGGCTGCAATTGTTGCAAAGTACTGGATGACACGCTTGGTGTTCACAGTCTTCCCGGCACCGGATTCTCCGCTGCCAAAGGCAAGAGAAGCAGAGAGCGTGTGGTCAGGCAGGAGATCCCCTGGCACTGGGCAGCCCCACAGGGACCTGAGCAGGGAGCTACGTACGTGATCAGGATCGACTGGTTCTCGCGATCTGCAAAGAAACAGAACAGAAGATGGTGTTAACAGCAGACCTGGGCAAAACTGAGATAACTGGGAAGTAAAGCTTTAAATGGAAGTTGGACTTTCTTTCAAGTCCAATAGTTGTTGTCCAAGCAGTTCAAAACTTACTGATTCCCTTCCAGGACCCAGCAGTAGTAAGATTAAATGGATGCCTAGAGCTGTGAGAGGTGTGTGGTGCTCACACACGCTGTCTATCCACTTGCCCTTCACACAGTTCTTATCCAAAAATTTAATGAAACTGCCTATCAGTATCCAAAATAGAGCATTATATGGTACCAGGAGAAATGGATTAATAATTCTTCCCATCCCATCAGTGGAAAAAGTTAAGAAGTACAATTTCTGCAGTAGGAGAGTTTAGAGTTTTGTACAATAAATGCAGTTAAAACACAATGCTGAGTCCGTGCGTGCTTCTGGGTCAGTTTCACTTGAAATTAATTCCTGCATAACTCAATCAAGTCCTGAGTCATACAGCTCCGTGGTGTTTTTAGCTGGCTTGTCACGTGTTCCAGTGAGATCAGTGGGGTTGTTGGTTTAGATTGCTGTGAGGGATGTCAAGCACTCACCAGTCAGCATGAACTGATAGGCGTTGTCAGAGATGGAGAAGATGTGTGGAGGGGCCTCCTGGCGCTTCTTGCCTCGG